CAAATAGGCTGGGTAACCCGACCCAAGGGCTTGGGTTGAGGGTGGTTTTCAGGCCACCGTTTGGCCGGTTTCTGGGTTGATTTTCCAAAGCTCATAACTTCTTCGTTACTCATCCAAATCAAGTGATCTAAAAATGAAAGTTGTAATAATCAATGAGATGAAGAGAACGATACCCTGCACGAGGGCCAACTTACCATGGTTTGGCCGAAAAATGCCTCGAAAAGGGCAGTGCTCATCGGAAGATTGGGTTTTTGGCCAAAGGTTTTGGAATTTTCAAAGCTTCGTAACCTCTTCGTTACTTAACCAAATTAAGTGATTCAAAAGCCAAAATGTATTCAGGAATGAGGAAAAGAGATTCATACTAATTGGGGACTGAGTAGTGGCCAGAGTTGGCCATAAAATGGCCTAAAAGATGGCCAAATGACCATGGCTTGGAATTTCCAGATTTCTAGAAATGCCCCTCAAGTTGTTTTTCGTGCTAAAACCTTCACCAAAGCCATTTTAATCACTAACCAAGTAATGTAGACCACAAGGAAGGAAGATCAAAGGATTCTCGAAGCTTACTTACGTTGGAGAATCCTCGAAAGTCATAGGAATTCGTCGGGGGATTAAGCACCGTGACTGCCATAGTGGAGCACTCCCTTGGCTTAGGGTTTTTGAGATCACAGTCCAGGTGTGGTGGTGATGGTTGTTGTGTGTGTGTTTTCGGGGAACAGGGAAGAAGATAGTTGTAGGGAGTCGAGATGGAGAGATAAAGGATAGTGAAGGACAAGAGAGAGAGAGGTCAGGGGACACAAATCAAGGGGCGGGCCCCTTGGGCTCACCAATTAAGACCTAAAAAACCATTTTTTTTTAAAATCTAGCCCAAGGTGAAGTTTCATGATCCTTTCGTTCCGATAAAATCGGGTCGGGTTGTTACAGTTGTTGCTGGTGATAATAAAATAACTTCGACGTTATATGCTTTGTGTTGTCTCCCTTGATGTATCCCTTCTTTAACTGCTTGATGCATGCTGCATTGTCTCCAAAGATCATCATAGGAAGGTCAACGATGGTAGTAAGACCATTAGTGCTTCGAATATGCTTCTCTCAACCAAAAGCACTCACGCAATGCTTCATGCAAGGCAAGAATCTCAGCATGGTTCGAAGAAGTCGCAACTAGCGTTTTCTTGATAGACCTCCAAGATATAGCGGTGTCTCCAACGGTAAAGACATAGCCTATTTGGGAACGTGCCCTATGTGGATAAGATAGATAACCAACATCTATGTAGCTAATAAGATGGGAATCAACCTAAGGACCGAGGAAGGCAATGGCTAATCTCGAGGATTTATGGGTGTAAAACAAGCCCAAATCCGTTGTACCCTTTAGGTAATGGAAAATGTCTTTAACACCATTCCAGTGTCTACGTGTACACGCATTGCTGTATCTAGCAAAAAGATTAACATCGAAGGAGATGTTGGGTCTAGTGCATTGAGCCAAGTACAATAAAGCACCAATTGCACTTAGGTATGGAACTTCATACTCCAAAATCTCTTCCTCATCCTCCTTGGGATGAAAGGAATCTCCTTTAGCATCTAGAGTCCAAACGACCATAAGAGTACTCGAAGGCTTCGCTTTATCTTCATTAAAATGTCGCAACACCTTTTGGGTATAGTTCGATTGATGTACTAGGATTCCATCCGAACAATGCTTGATCTCTAGGCCGATACAATATCGAGTTTTCCCAAGATCCTTCATCTCAAATTTTGATTTCAAGTGAACGGTAATTTCCTCAAGCTCTACGGGATTTCCGGTGATGTTCATGTCGTCGACATAAACTGCAACGATCGTAAATCCAGAATGTGACTTCTTAATGAACACACATATGTATAGTTCGTTGTTTACATAACCTTGACTTGTCAAATAGTCACTCAGACGGTTATACCACATCCACCCTGATTGTTTCAATCCGTAGAGTGATCTCCTTAATCTAATCGAGAGAGTGTTCCGTGGTCTAGAACTATTTGAACCAGTCAATGAAAGTTCTTTTGGAACTTTCATGTAGATTTTCATATCTAGATCCTCATAGAAATACACGGTTACCACGTCCATAAGCTGCACATTCAATTTTCTAGACATTACGAAATTGATAAGGTAGCGGAACATTATGGCGTCCATTACCGGGGAATACATCTCTTCGTAATCAATTTCAGAGCGTTAAGAAAAGCCTTGCGCTACGAGGCATGCTTTGTATCGTATTATTTAATTCTTCTCATTATGCTTTCTTACGAAAACTCACTTATAGCCCACGAGCTTCACATATAGTGGAGTAGGAGCTACGTGCCCAAACACCTTATGTTTCGTAAGCAAATCGAGTTCGACCTGGATTGCTTGTTTTCAGTTTAACCAATCCATTCTACGTCGACATTCATTAACGAAACATGGTTCAATGTCATTGCTAAGCATGATGTTAGTAGCTACTGTGTACGCAAATGCATCACCAACGATCATCTTATTTTGATTCCAAACCTCATCCAATATTGCCTAGTGGACCAAAATCTCGCGATTCTCAAGAGGCTGGTATGTCATGTTTAAGACGTCACCGTAATCTAGAATAACCTCATGCATTGGAACAAATAAGTAAATGATGGTTGGATTCAGACTAGGGTCACTAGTTTATGTCGTTTTTCTCTTCTAGGGTTGTGAATCCTTTGAACCAAAGGGTCTGCCATACTTCAGGGTAGGAGTAAATGATTAGCTAGCCGCCATTGTACCGGGCTGCGTGGAAGGTGCATCCGCTTTACCTTTGGGGACGGTTCGGCCTTCATATGTGGTATTATGGCGTACTTTAGGTATGTTAATCCTTGCAAGTGCGTTTGCAGTGGGTATATGTGATCTCGTCACCTTTGCTAGATCAGTAAAAGCATCCGGCATGCTTTGAGAAATGCTCTGAAGATCTAGTATACGATGCACTTTAGTTTCAAACTGGGCAGTACTGGGATCTAAATGAGACATAATGGGAGCATATCACGACAATTCATGGCATTATACAGGAATGTCAGCATTCTTATCTCCCATTAACAACGGGAAGATTGTCTCATCAAAGTGACCATCAGCAAAACGTGCGGTAAAGAGATCTCCTGTCGAGGGCTCTAAGTAACGAATAATTAATGGCTAATCATAACCGACATAAATTCTCATTCTTCTTTGAGGACCTATTTTGGTACGTAGTGGCAGCACTATTGGCACATAAACTACGCACCCAAACACACGTAAATTAGAGATGTCAGGCTCATATTCAGTAACCAAATGTAACGGTGAATGAGGTTAGGTAGCGGTGGGCCTCAAGCTAACCAACATAGCTACGTGCAATATTGCATAGCCCTCGGCAGATACCAGCAGTTTGGTTAGCATAACCAAAGTCCAAGCTATCAATTGAAGGCGCTTTATGAAAGCTTCTACTAGGGCATTTTAGGTGTGAACATGGGGTACATGATGTTTAACTTTAATCCTAACGGACATGCAATAATCATCAAAAGTCTATGATGTAAACTCTTCAGCATTATCCAGTCGAATCGATTTGATTGAATAATCAAAATGGTAAGCCTTAAGCTTAACAATTTGTGCTAGGAGTTTCGTAAATGAAACATTGCGTGTGGACAATAAGCAGACATGTGACCAACGCGTCGATGCATTAACCAACACCATAAAATATCTAAATGGTTTGCATGTTGGTTGGATAGTTCCACAAATATCCCCTTGAATCCTCTGAAGGATCTGAAGAGGGGTGTGAATAATCTTTGTAATTAAGGGTTACGAATTCAACTTCTCCAAGGAACAAGCTTTGCATGGTAGGAATCCAACATAGGGAGTTAAATGATGTCCATATGATGATTTGAGAATGCGATGCATCATATCACGTCCGTGATGTCTTATACGGTCATGCCAAAGCAGCAAGGTGCTCTGGAACCCAGGCTTAAGGCTGGCCACATGGTGGGTCTCTATGCCTCGAATGGTTATAATGTACAACCCACTCGGGAGACGTTCCAACTTATCATGAATACGCTTCTACCCATACTCGTAAGAAGTGATACAAAGAAATTAAGAACCATTCTCTTCAATGGTTTCAACATGATATTGATGATCTCGAATATCTCTAAAACTCAACAACATTCTTCCAGAACGTGGAGAAAAAATGGCCTCTTTAATAGTTCAGACAGTACCATTAGACAACATTATACGGGCCTTTTCGTATCCTTCAATCAAGTTGGATGAGCCTGAGAGGGTTGTCAAAGGTGCATTCTTAGGTACAAAGTTAGTAAAATAGTGTCGCTCACGTAAGATGGTGTGAGTGTTAGCACTATCAGCCAGACAACTAACTTCTCCACTAATCATAACTAGAAATAAATTAATTGAATCGATCACATATATAAATATAATTTCATTCATTCAATTAATCAATCAAGAAATAATATCCATAATTCTCAGGTTGGGCTGGGTTGCAGGGCCGTGAGTACCCTACCAGGCTGAGGGCCTGGGTTGTCATGCTTGAGCAGCAAATCCCAAAGGGCTACTTTAGTGTGGTCCAAGGCATCAAACGATGCCGCTCCCATGTGTTCTCCACTCGGTCAGTGACAGCGAGCCGCAACCAATGCCGCATATTTCCCTTTTTTTTTTTCTTTTTTTTTTTTTCCGACTTCGCTAGGGTTTGAAAAGCCCTAAATTGCTTCTAATTTATTTATATGCTTTGACTCACAAATTCCACATAGCAAAATAATAATTGCGTAATGCATGAAACGTGTATATCAAGCTAACTCTGTCAAGCTAACTCTGTTGCCCATAGGCCTGCTCATTTTGCCGTCCACAGAGGTCATTGTGCATGATTTGATGAAACTCCCTCATTGATTTGTAATTTGATTAAGCCCTTGTACTGAGTAGCCTATTCTTGGCTTTTAATGAAATTATATCATATTCTTTTGCCTTTCATTTCATCGCTCTTCCCCTCTCCATTTCGATACAAGAATACGAAAACCAGCCTCCAAATTCCTTTTGTCTTTCAAGGTTGTAGAGAATGAAACAAACACATCAACAAATATTACAAGTTTACAACCCCACTTTTACATTATTTTTTCCTCCCAATACATCCCCACAGGGCCACAAGCACCTATCACACCTATTGCAACTTATCGAAAGATATTAGCTCTGTAGTTTTACGAGTAACGGAAATGGGCATTGTTTTTTTATTTACCAAATAATACAAGTCTCAAAATCTAGTGGTACTAAATAACGAGATGTCAAACTCGCCATACCCGCCTTCGCTGTGACATTAAACTCATGCCTGGCACATGCAGTCCGGAGCAGGATACGTGTATATGGACTGCTTAGGCTTTCTAATCCTGATTTGTCCTTGCCTGTTTTCGTGCCCTTTTACCACCGACTGCTGGAATTCCGACCAGCTAAGGGTTTTGTTTAGGAAGAGTTGCCCCAATAGTGGCATACTCGGCCTGATGGTCTTCAAGTTCTCGTAAGTTCGGTGCCCTACCTGTTGACATTAATTTCTTTTTCGTCAGCATTCTATGAGTTGCAGAACATTATGATATGGAGAGCATGTGAAAACATATCTACAGTGCACCAAATTGCAGTGAACATCTCGTGCCTTCGTGTAAGGATGGGTGCTCAAAGACATTATGCAGGTGAGTGACTACCCTCACAAGTTGAAAGTACCAGCCATGGCAACAGGAATATATGACATCATAGAACTGATTAAAAAAATTTATTTGGAAGTCTTACCAGTGCATTGTGCATGTTTCCTGGGGAAGCAGATATGAAGATGTCACTGTGCATGCTAACGTAGTAATCAACTGCTGCTAACAGAGAAGCCTTTCCTTTGATTTGGGCCCGTTCTTCTGAAGAAGCAAGGCTCTTTTTATCTTCCATAAGTGGAAACACTTTTCGCAAAGTAGCAATCCTAGCTTCCCCACCGTATACCTGAAGAAAACAAAACGAAATTGCAAATTAGACCTATGGTAACCAGAAACATTAGATTTGAATTTCCTAACTGATATTTGCCAATTCACTGGATGAGACTTGGCTGACATGAGTTGGATATAAGGAACACTAATAACCTTGTGGGAAGCAAGATAGAGGCGGGTATTGTTGTCAAATCCTAAAGCCGCAAGAAGCAATCCAATCTCTTCTGGAGTTAATGGACAACGCCCCTGACTCCTCAGCTCCTCGTCCGTGAACTGGGAGTTAAGGACTCTTCCCTGCCAGATCACTTGTCGGTATTTGGCCAGAGCCAATTTTTCGGCTTTTCCACCTCCAAAATCACAGGCTGAATGGGCTGCCATATCCTGCAGAACGAAAAATAAATCCAGAACATAATTTCCATATTGCAAACACAAAATTTTCATACTTTTCAACAGTTACAAATTAATTGTAAGTTGTTAAAGTGGCACATAATGTGTTACAAATACAATCTGTCCATTGTTTGTGTACCGCAGAACATAAAATACTGCAAGTTAGACATCAATTGTTTACATATAGCAGTTCCATCCACCAGCAATGCCAGAATTTACTGTGCACGACACAAATTTTGGGGAAAAATAAAGGAGTCAATCTAAATGGATGTGAATAAAATTATGAGGGGCAAACCTTATCAAACCGTAGATGCAGCACAACAAATTTCCCTGCCCCTTGCTTGTCATTCACATTAGGCATCTCCTGCAAGTAATTGGAACTAGCTCCCCCACTTTTGCTAGAAGGATATCTAAGACGGCTGACCAGAGCATCTCCAAGAGCTCTAATATGAGGGACAAACTCTAATGCTTGAAAGTTGACCTTACAGCGTAGTCGTTGGATGTCCATAGGCAAGTTGTCAAATGTCAGGCGGTGCGAGAATGGGGCAATAGCTGCTATTCCATAACTGAACCACATACAATTCGGCATATACGAAATTTAAGATATGAAGCCATAGTTTTCCATTGACTTCAACAGCTACTAAAGGTCTGAAAATTAAACAAGAAGAACACTATAATTTAAGCCAACAAGTTCAGGTGATACTGACCTCTGAACTAGGGGCAATACATTCTCTAGATACCAGTTTGCTGAAGCATGGACAGGTGCTGTCTTAACTCTCGTAGCTCGGATGGCCGTTGCATAGTACTCCCTTGTGCTCCACGAGAAATCAGAAGGGAGCTCTTTAACTATTCTAATATCATCCTTCAATACATTAATGAAATGATCAACATCAAATATATCCATGAAGGAGCTGCAGAGAAAAGAACCGGCAGAAGAATAAGTACCAATAAGGATTCAAGAGATAAAGACATGTATAATGCAAATATAAATCAACGTTTGCTTCTACAAATACCTTGAATCTCGCCATACAGGATTCACTTCAAGGTACGGGATCACAAGGGTTGCATTCAGTATTTTAGCAACTGCTACTGCATCACATATCTACAAATAAAATAATTTTAAGAACTAGCCAGGTGGTTATACACAACTTTGAAACAGATACACGTTGGATGAATTACAAACTTTTAAGACCTACCCCCATCCTCTGCTGGTTCAGTCCTCCATCAAGAAAAACTTGGATAAATCCCTCAGAGTTTTCCGGTAATGCTGCATGAGATAAAAGAATCAATTGCGAAAAAGTAGCACTTAACATTGTAAAACACATTAGTTCTGCAATCTACAGTAAAACTACTTTAGATACAGAGACATAACCAAAGTAACACTGTTTTCCGTAAACACTCACAAGGGGCAATTGATGATTCTGCACAAGGTTTCCATGATTCGTTAGCCAATGGTGTCCATAGATCCGAGAGTTCCCCTTCTGACTACACAAGGTAAAGATTTTTTTTTTTTTTAATCTTTTCAGTTTAATTTTATGCGTACAAATCAGTCAAACTAATAAGCTCTTACTCACAGTTTGGCGTTGTAAAGCACTCTTGAGAAGGCGTAGGTGCTTAGATTTTGGAACATTCCACTCCTGAAAAGTCGACTTCGTCATCACATCAAGCCCCTAAAAGAAAAGCAGTATTTAAATGATCCTGATCTTTGCAACAGGTGGGAAATGCACTTATATATCACTAAGGGCACACATATCTACTTGCACAAACATCGCGTAACAATTGATGGGCGCCTCGGCATTTCATTTTTGTGACATTTTAAGGTCCTTACTATTCTTACAAGTACAAACAATGTGTTCATGATCCCAAGCATACAAAACAATTTCCATCTTAACCTCGCTTGGCGCCATTCACCGGTCCCAAAATTTCTAGCGGAGTTAATCAAATTTCATCAATGTAACAACTTTTTAATTCAGCTTAGTGCCTAACCCAACAAGTATAAGCGTTATTTGGAGTAGTTCCGATATCATAAGACCGACTCATGCTCTAGCTCTAGCATGTATGCCTTAATTGCTATGATAATCTTTGTTCCTCAGTTTGTCGGTGATCGAATTTACAAGAAAAATGGCAGCAGCAAACAAATCAAAGCAAAAAACTGCATGCAACCCCTCTAAGAAAAAGAAATTACCGTGTTGTACAGCATTAGTAAATTGAACAATAACCAAAACCACTAGAAAAGGCCAGAAAATCCCTACCGAGTACGTGGAAGGAGAATTATAATCCAAGGAAAACAGGTAATTAAATAAGAGGAAGAAACATACCGAGTACATGGAAGGAGAAGCATGGCCCAACGGACTGAACAAAGTGGGCAAGAAAACTGGGAGGAGAAGGAGCAGAAGAGCACCGAGAGCTCCTCCTCTGGGAGAAAACTGAAACTGGACCACCATTGTTCCAAAACTTCAATCTGAAAACTAAAATCTGGGTTTTGCTCTGCACTGGAAACTACAAAGACCCAGAAACAAGACGGAGACCGAGACCGAGACCGAGACCGAGACCGAGGGAATAACGCAACTATAAATGTAGCGGCCTACAAAGCAGACGGGAGAGCGAGCGAGAGAGTAAAGGCACTTTGACAGGACACCTGGACTGCTTGCTTTGTAGTTTGGATTGATTATGTAAAGCGTGTCACTCTCAGAGATAAAAGAGCTTTTTTTATTTTTTTTTATTTTTTTATTTTTTTTATGCGAACAAAAAAAAAAACTAATGAAAATAACTCGAAAATTTTAAGTTTTAACAAAAATGACAAAATAAAGGATAAAGTAAATAGTACCATGATTGACTTTTTAGTGTAAAAATGTAATTTTTTATTAAAGTAAACAGTACCAGAAACATTTCGTTAAAGTTCCCAAAAAAAAAAAAAATATGCAAAACATATTCTCTATTTTGTTGACGTGACTTAATTGTGGCTTAAAGTAAACACATTGTCTCCATTGCTTTCCAAAATAAAAAAAAACCCCAAGGGCGGTTTGTGGTTACCTTCCAATTTATATTTTTAATACAAATATATAAACAAAAACCCTAAATTTCCTTTTTTCTGTAAAAACACAATAAAAAAATTAACATACAAAGATTAATTGTCACACACATAAACATGTGACAAGATATTAGCATTAATTGTAGGACTCATCTATTTTTCTTTCCTTCGTTTTTTTTAGGGGGAGACAGTGATGAGTGGGAGGATAATTGCAGTCTACAAGGTTTGCAAATTGGAGCATTGGGTTCGGCTTCTGGGTAAGTATCTCTATGACTCTTTCATACTTTTTTTAGGGTATCCCTATGACTCTATGTACTTGATGGAATAAGATCTTATCCAAATCTTTTTTGTGAAGGATCGCGAAAATTACTTTATCTAACATCTTACAGTTAAAAATTATTTTTATTTTTTTATTTAAAATTAAATACAAACAATACTTGATAAAAAGTAATTGAACGATGTCCGATAAACGGACAAGATAAAACTACAAAAGAGATCAGAAGAGATTCTCATCCGTCCTTAATAGATTGGCTTTTGGTGCTCCAGCCAGGCAGCACCGACACTACAGTCAGTTAGTAACTGTTCAAATTTTACATGGAATGGACCTGGGAATTACATCACATGGGATGTTTCGGCTCTGCACACCCTGCGGGAAAAAGGCCTCTTCTTTTATATAATTTATATCTGTTCTTCCAATCCAACGGCTTTGTGTATGTTATTTCTGCATGTTATAGGTATATAGAATAGAATGATCCTTCTAACCTATATTGGAAGGATTAATTTCGTTTAGTACTACAGTTAACAATATTTCTCTGCATTTATAGGTAAGAATTTTTAGATTTGAATATTTGGAGTGACGGGATCAGATCCATTAGTATATAATATATCTTTGTATAAAAAAAAGAAAAAGAAAAATTCACAAAGTGGAATTGAATCCCTCCAAACAAAATGTGCAATTTGTGGTGGCTCAGAGATGCTTCGCTCAATTGTTCTTGTTTTCTAGCATTTTGGTATTTGGATATTCTCCAATGTCCAAATTTGCAAACCTCCCAATCTTATTGAACATAGCCATAACGGGAACTAGGGTAAGGTGGTTGCTTTTGCTTGTGCCTGCTGTTGGAGCAACAAGAAATGAATGCTGATTTTCTCCATTCCTCCCCCTGACCCCAAACCTCATCTTCTTACATTATTGTGTTTGGAAAGCGTTGCGGTCACCCGGCCCACAAAAAGAGATTTTTTAGTGTATTAGACATACGATCCGGTATAATAAGTGTAAGGCACAAAGCCCAGTACAATACAAGTTTAATAATAGTATTTTGGTATTTTTATTTACGGCTCCTAAAACTTTATTTTAATTTCACTTTGCCCCTTGTAACTCAAAAATTACCACTTTACTTCTTAAAATTCATAATTCGTCTCACTTTGGCATGTGGACTCTCTCTTCTTCCTAAAACTTATTGGTTGCCTCCTGAAACACATATAGGACTCAACACCCAATACGACTATGTCATGTATGCAATAAATTTGATTATAAATCTTCATTATGCGTTAAATCCAACAATCAGAGAATATTAAGTTTAAAAGAAAAAAATAAAAATAAATTGATTAGTCTGGTGCACCTAAATCAACACATACATAAGAAATTAATAGATCTAAGGCAACGTGGAGTGCACTTTGAGTTTTACAAAGACAACCTTCAGGTTTTAGGGAGCAAAATGAAATCAAAATCGAGTTTCAGAGGCAAAGCAGAGCAAATTTTGAGTTTCAATGAATAAAGTAGCAACTTTTGAGTTATAAAAAGTAAAGTAAAATTAAAATAGACTTCCAAGGAATGTGCTAAAAATAAGCCTTTTTTGAAATTGGTTTTTGGATACAAGTGATGTTGTAAACTTTTGATTGTTGCCACTAAATAGCGAATGAGGTTGTCATACTACCACTCATAACGAAGGAGTATATTCTCTTCCTTTTTTTATTCCCTCTCATTCCCTCTCCTCCTATTTGAATGGTCACGCTTAAGCCACGTCAACATCTTATATTAATTTTTTATAAAAAAAAAAAAAAGACAAAATAAAGAATGTGAGAGGAGGAGATAGAAGGGGATGAAAAGAGAATGAGAGAATCCTAATCACTTACTCGTGTAATCTAGGGTGTGCTTTTGTAACTTCACTGACCATATGGTGGTGAACATATTTGAAACACCTTAACCCGCTGGAGGCCTCAAAACCATCCATTACTTTAATACTCTATTTAGTCGGATGCCCACCCTAGCAGACTTGACATATTGTAAACGAGTGGTGCTATCCACAACCAGTTTTTACATCTCACACCCGCTTTTGAGTTTCTAACGATCGAATCGAATGAATTAAAAAAGATTAAGGGACGGAACTTAATAAGGATGTATAAAAAATAGAGAAAGCGTTAAAACTATTGTAATGTAAAGACAAAATGATTGAATTGTAACTGGCCTAACTCACATTTGAAAATTCTACACTAAGGAAGTTTCATGAGGGAGTTTTTAAGACCGCATTCGAAAAAATGATCTAAGACAATGGACCTAAGAATAATGAGGTTTAACTTACAACCCCCAAAACCACTTAATCTTGGTGGTGGTAATGGTTTCAATGATGTCTGCCATCACCAAGATGAAGATCTAATATGGATGTTGTTGCGCTCTGGGTTATCCTGCACCATCTTCTACTTGGTCGTCGTCGGCAAATTTGACGATATTCAGTGATGTTGTTGATATGGTGCCATTATGAGAATCGTTGATATCACGTTCATACTTGGGACCAGTACCTCAATTTAACATTGTTATATGACGTTAATCTTTAAGTTCACATTATACGTATCGCTCCGTGTATTGTATTGTTTTTAAATTGCTCATATCATACTTCAATTTTTCCTTTCGCATAAAAGGGGACTAGCTAATGGCTTGCCTACGGTGGTCTATCATTTTAGAAGCCGAGAATACTTACAAAGACATTTCATTAGCGTCAGGAATCGAAACGTATACAGTACCTTAATTTAATGCTTAATGTTCCCACCCACGTTTACTTTGGACAGGGCTAAGCCCATGTTGGGCCCAATTTAGTTGAGATAAGGCCAAGGCCACCTGAATATTGTGAAAATAAAATAAAATAAATATAAAAACAAAAAAAAAAAAAAACAAAAAAAACAAAAAAGAGAGGCTGCATCTAACGAAGCAAACGTATTTTACACAAGAAGAAGAGGAAGAAGAAGAGAGCTCAGAAAATTGTTGTTCGGAATTCAGACAGAAGAGCGGAGATAACCCCATAAATCCACAAGCTGGGAAATATGGATCTCAGCCAGGTGAGTTGACTCGTTTCTTCAATTTCTTGCTTACTATTTCCGATTTTAGTTGCTCCAGTTTCTCGGATTTGTGGGCCATTCGTTGCTGGGTTTAATGTTGGGATTGAAAGGGTTTTTGGATTATTACTGGATCTGGCTTATGTGTTTTGCGTTCTTGTTTGGTTGCTGAGAAAATAATGGAAAATGATTAGAATATTAGCTAACATTTCATTTGGAAATTTCCATGGTAGATCTGGATTTCAGATTTTCTTTAGGTGGATGTTTTTGTTGATATGTTTTGAGCTTAGTAATTCGTTTGGTTGAGTAGAAAATTGTGGAAAGGGAGAGGAAATTGAGTATCATTCATTAATGAGGCCTTGAATCGCTACAATTTATACTAAATTTTATTTTTCGTAAAGATCCGTATCGTGCTTGCTGCTTAGAGGAGGTCTAGCATTGTGCAGGGACTTAATTCTAATCTGCTGTATAATCGGCAGCTAAATCTAATTTTCGAATAGGAAAGGTTTTATTGAAGGGAAACAAAAAATAGGAAGAGGGCTTTTGTTGTTATGTCACCCGAAGAAAGAGTTCAATTTCAGAGTGTAATATGTCGCAAGAGGATTGAGTTTCTTATCAAAGGTGTTACATTATTTGCCCTTAGCAGAAAATAGATAATAATATGAGTGCGACTTTGAATGTGAAAACTTCCCTTTAATTTTGGCCCTTTCCGGTGAACTTGGGGACTCGTTATGTTGTGGTTGAAAGTAAGATGGTGTTGTTTTGAACTCGGGGACCCATTATGTTGTAACCATTTTTCATTTTTGTTTCCGTTTAGCTAATTCTACTCTACTTTCATGTGCAGCCACAAGGGGAAAACTATGCCAACCCGAAGACATGTTTCTTCCACGTTCTTTTCAAGGTCTAGTATCTATAGTTTTCTTGTTTACCGTTTCTTATAAACGAAGATTGTCATTTAAATGTGGTGCCTCCTTCACTAAGTAACATTATGTTCCTTCTCTTTCACAGGCTGGAGCATTGGCTTTTTACATACTTTCTGCCCTCTTTTTTGATAACTTTGTCATCATTTTTGTTGTGACTGTTCTTCTTTCTGCCCTTGATTTCTGGGTAGTTAAGAATGTTAGTGGACGCATCTTAGTTGGGTTGAGGTGGTGGAATGAGATAAATGATCTTGGTGAGAGTGTGTGGAAATTTGAATGCCTTGACCAAGAGGTTAGTATTACCATCACAAAAATCTGTATTATCGTTTTCTCTTCCCTTTGTTACT